GGAATCCCAGGGGCTCAGGAGACTGAGGCAGGAGGATCACAAGTTTGAGGCCAGCATCAGCAACTTATGGAGGCCCTAAGCAACTTAGCGAGACCCTAAATAAATAAATAAGAAATAGAGTACCTAAAACCCTTGGAATCGCTAAAGTGACTGGCCCCCGGGGGCTGGTGGGTAACCTCATGATGAGGGCTGGTTGCCCTCTAGTCATCCGCTGTGTGATTGGCTGGCCACTTTCGTTTCCTAGGGAAGGGAGGGGCAGAGAGTGGAGCTGATCACCAGGGGCCAAGGATTTAAACCACTGTGCGTGCTCATGTCAGGAAGCCCCCATGCCACTGCTGAGGACCAGTTTGGAGAGTTTCAGGTAGGTGACCCTGTGGTGGCTCTGGAAGTGAGTCACCTCACGGGGTTGGAAGTTCCTCATCCTGCCTGCCCACCCCCCAATACCTCGCCCTGTGAATTTCTTTGCTGACTCTTCAGAGAAAAGAAGGAGAAGTGAAGGGGTGTGTTGTCCCCATCCCCGATGGGGTGGCTTGACAGGATTGGCCTTGTGAGGGTCACTCCCTGTACCCACGGTCCTGGGCTCAGGGTGGCTCCTTTATAGTAAAGGGTAAGAGTGACTGAGCTGTCCCTGGCTGATTCTCAAACATGAGGAGGGGATCCTGGGAGCCTCCAGTACATGGGCAGTGGGTCAGAAGCTCAAGTGACAATGGACCTTACCAACGTGGGCAGTACTGTATTCCTGAGCCCTCAGGCTGTTGGATCTGATGCTAACTCCAGGCAGCTGGCGTCAGGGTTGAGTTAAATGGTGGCACACTCAGTTGGTGTCCCGAGAACTGGATAATCCGATGGAGTGGGGCAGCATCGGGCAGGGGGGCCCCAACATGCATCTGGCATCAGAAGGGAAGCCCTGAGGGCCATAGGAGAGAGGAAACAGGGTTGAGATCCCAGAGACACCACCACCCTCTTCAGAAGGAGGAAACCCAAGTGCTCGTCACCTTGGGATGGGTTATGCCCTAAGTGGTGTCCTTTGGCTTCCGCTCCTGATTGCTGGGCTGCCCGGGAGCTGCAGCTCACTGTTGCTGCCCAGCATGACGGGAGAGTACGGGACAGGCATTGCTACCCAGGAAAGGACCAAAACTCCAAGTTCAAAGTGTGGATTCTATGGGAGCCATGTTGTTTCCCACCGTCACAGAAGCCGAGCCACCCTGAGTCCAGGACCATCAGCTCTCTCGAGGCTAACTCTGTCAAACCCCCATATGGGGATGGGGACAACAGGCTCCTTCTGCATGCCCTGGCCTTGCCAACACAGGCCACATCACTGCTGCAAGACTCAAAGGTTTGTGGGTATATTGGGATGCTCAGGGACCCTCCACTACCATTCCAAAGTGGCCAGGATGAGACACAAGAAGTGGGAACATCAGGTGCGTGTGCACCACCGTGTGGCCGGGCTGGTATGTCAGGAGCTGTAGTCACTCCAAGGTGGAGTTATGTTGGGGCGGACGCTGAGTCTGATGTGTCTCCACCTGCAAATTCATAGGTTGGAGTCCTGACACCAACTGAGACAGTATTTGGAAACAGGATTTGGGGGAGGCAATTGAAGCATAAGGATGGGGACTAATCCAACTGAGAGATGCCCTTGTAAGGAAAGGAGCCACAGAGAGCCCGGCCTCGCCACCACCAAGGGTGTCTGCAAGGTCCAAAGCCAACCTGGTCTTGCATATCCACCTCCGTAACTGTGAAAAAGTAAGGTCTGTGGTTCGAGGCTAGGTCTGAGGTCCGGGGCTGGCTGGACCCCAGGTTCCGGCCGGGTACAGGGCGAAAGCGCATGCGCGGTAGGCCTGAGCGCCTAGGAGCTGTCATTGCTGGCCCGCATCATCAGACCTGGCGAGAGCCCACAGAGAGCCGTCTCTTCAGCGCCAGAGCAAACAGTGCCACTGTCCTTAAGATCAAGGACTTAGAATTAAGGCTCTTTTGATGGGAACAGGATTCAGGAGCCAGAGAAGCCAGTGGGAAGGTGTTGTTACCCGAGGGCTCCACGAGGGGGCGCGTGTCACCACTCGGAAGCAGGTTGATCTGCGTCCCGCGCTGTTAGCGGGCAGCCCGGGAAAGGGGGACCCGAGTTTGAGGGTCTTACCAGGGAAGGCTGCCCTCCTCCCACAAGGGTGACACAGAGGTACCCCCCATTCTTGAGGCTTTGCCTACTGCCTCGCATGTGGGCAAACGAGACCAAGGCTCAGGCTGCAGGTTGGGACAAAGCTGAAGCAAAGGAGGTGGGATGGAGCCAGAGACCCCTTCTGCCCCTCTCCTGTCATGGGGTGGAGGGACGGCTGCGCCCAAGCCTGAGGGTAATGGTAGGTTTTGCAGGGAAGCAGGGAGGAGGAACATCTGCCTGGAATCTGGTTGCTGGCTGCTCATGTCCCCTGTTCCTTTGAGCTCAGTCACCAAGAGGCAATCCCCTGGTCCTCAGCAGGCAAGCCTGCACTGAATCAGGAGGTGCAGGAGCTCAGCCTCCATTCCCCGGGCAGCTAGGTCGGTGGGTGAGGAGCTGGGGTCACAGGATCAAGAAGAATCAAAATGTTCACACATTGTCCAAAACAGCTGTTCCTTCAACCAGCTGCTACTGTCCTGCATACGTCCAGGTTTCCAGAGCATCGTGTGGCACCTGACCTGCGAGGGCTCCCCACGCTCCTTCTCCAGGCCCTGAAAGGACATATTACTACAGGCGTCAGGGCCTGTCATCTGGGCCTAGCCGCTGGGGAATCTGCCCCTGGCTCTGAGGTGCGGCTGCTCAGGTGCACGCCTCGCACACGGGCCTTCTCTCCGGGCCTCAGTTAGCTGCTCTGTGGACTGAGGAGCTTGTCAAGATGCCCTTCAAGACCCTCCCAGGCCACTGCTTCCTCCCATAGAGAATGGGGAGGGAGGGTGGAGGAGAAAATTGAGCAGGGAGGCCCCAGGCCAATTTTGGGAGTGAGAGGACAGATCATGAGGCCCAAGCAAATAGAGGTTCCTTCAGAGCCAGGCTCCACTGGTATGGATTCAGGAGACCCAAGAATGGAGAAACTGAGATCTTCGGGCACAGCCCTACTGGGCATCTGGACTCAGCCTGGTATTTGCTGTTCACAAGGTTTGTTCTGCTCTGTGCACATCTGCTAAGCTTCTGCAGTGTGCCTGTGCCTGGGGCAGGCCAGGAAGAGGGCGAGACAGAGGCCAGAGGCCACACTCCTTAGGGGAGGGCCACTAGCCCCACCTGGAGGTGGAGGGGAGGGATTTGCAAGGGCCTTTAGAAAGCAGGAGCCAGAAGGTTACTAGGATGATCAGTGGTCAACCACACTGACCCCCCTGGGCCGGAGCCCCTAGGCTTGAGTTCTAAAGGATGAAGTGCAGCTGGGTGGGAGGGCAGTCTACAGGGGACAGGGTAGGAAAGGTCCTGGAGGTTCAGAAGTAGCAGTCAGCAGCCAGTAGGATGGTGACAGCAACAGGACCACAGCCAGACAGCATTAGCTGTGACCATGACTCCCCAGCAGAGGTAGTGCCTCCCTGACCCCTTGGGAGAGGAGACACTGCAGAGAGCTGACCACAGTCTTTTGGGGCCTGAGTTCATCTCAAGAATCTGTGCACTTTGAATTCTCCAAGAATTAGAAATTGTCGTTTTGGATTGAGCACCGTGAGACACGGAGACGATCATACTAATTAGGTAATGAGTGATGGATAATCAATAATTAGGTGATAGGTAATAAGCAATGTTTTTCTTTCTTTCTTTTGTTTGGTGCTGGGGATGGAACCCAAGGCCTCATGTAGGCATGGGCTCTGCCACCGAGTCCCACCCCTACCCCTGGTAATGGCCACAGCAGCTCCTGTTCTCACGGAGCCTGGCAGGACCTGAGCTCTCCTGTGGACGTCTCCCCCTTGGCCACCAGGACCGCACCTGTGAGAAGACGAGGCAGGTATCAGGCGACCCTCTCCCAGGTGTCTCCCAGGGATGGAGTGGAAGGTCCTGGTTTGGGGGGGGTTCGAGGCAGGTGTGAAGTGGGGCCACCACCTCAGAGCCCTCAGGCCCAGCAGTCCTATTTCTGAAGACCCCTGGGATCTTTCTGGTGACCCAGGAGCTCTGAGAGGCTACAGCTCAGTGGCCTTGGCGGAAGGTTCCAGATACATGCCTCTCCCACCCCCACAGGGGGCCGGCACCTACCTCCGCAGAGGCTGGGAGGCCTTGATGTTGAGGTCACTGAGTCTGGGAATCCAAGGGGGTAGACAAGCACAGAGTCTGGGCTTGAGGACCAACTCCAGCTCACATTGGCAGGCACTTGCTGGGCACCTGCTGTAAGCACAAATGACAGGGCTTGGGACAATCCTCACGGATCAGCAGTGTCTCTTATTCAGCAGTGGAGTCGGGCATCGGAGGGGCTCACGTCCTGGGTAGAAAATGGCCACCAATTACAGGAGGGGGTTGGGGTTTTGTAGGGTTCACTGAGGTGACTTGTCAGTTCAGGCATCTAGGAAAGAAATTGTGAAAACTTGAGACTTGTTTTTACTGGGCAAGGATAGGGCGTTCAGAGCTCAGCGCCCAGTGCCTACCTTGTCCTCTGGGGGTCATTGCATTGTCACTGGGACTGGATTCATGTGTGGGGAAGAATTTACTGGGAAAGAATCAGTGTTCATCCTCCTCCGGGGGACTGCCATTTTAGGACTGGTGTGTGTCTCCCTCCCAGGGATTGTCCTGTCACTGGGAAGGGATCCACGTTCTGTTCTCTTCCCCGCTCCCTCCTCCTGGTCACACTGTCTTGGGGGTTGTCATTTAATACGTCCTTCAGTAGGCGTTCACAGTAGAGCCATGTGTCGATGAATCCCAGGGACACGTGCCGACCAACGCAGGGTGAGGGGACTTTTGTCACTGAGCCAACACCCCAGGTGTGCTTATGCCACCAAGACATCTATGCTGTCACTGGGGATATAATCAGACAGGACCATGGTCAGTGTATGCAGTCCACCATTGGCTGAAGCGTCACTGTCGCTTGGCTGAAGATGCTCCCCTATCCTGGGTCCCAATGTCCCTGTGAGCCCAGCGTGGCGGCCTCTCTCCCAGCTTGGCTCAAGGCCACCTGTTTCTGTTACAGTAGCTTAAAATTGGTGCAGCCCCTTGAGAGGGAAGCAGCGTGGCCAGGGAGGAGCTGGCTGTTGCTCTCTTGCTCTGACAGCAGCACCTGACCAAGGAGAGCCAGCCGGGCAGTCCCTGGTCACCCAAAGCCTGCCTGCTCCTCCATCTCAGGGTCAGCACCATCCAGGGGTGTTTAGAATGAAGCACGGGATTATTTGAGAGTTAACCAAACCCATACTGATAATTTTGCATGTAAAGTTCCCAAATTCTAGGAGTACTGTCAGGTGTAAAAGAATGTGGTCCAGGCCAGGCGTCGTGGTGCACACCTGTAACCCCTGACACGGGAGGCTGAGGCCGCAGGATCGCAAATGGAGGCCAGCCTCAGCAACTCTGTGAGACCCTGCCTCAAAAGGCGCTGGGAACGCAAGTCAGTGGTAAACTACCTCTGGGTTCAATCCCCAGTGCCCGCCTCCCCAAAAAATTCAAGCCAGGAGAGTAGAAGTTTGCCTTTTGATTCTAATTTAAACATGTCATTGGATACGGTGGCATGCCTTTCATCCCAGCAACTTGGGAGGATGAGACAGGAGAGTTTCAAATTCAAGGCCAGTCTGGGCAATTTAATAAGACCCTGTCTCAAATTAAAAAATAAAAAGGGCTAGGGATGTGGCTCAGAGTGCAATTGGGGGCAAAAAAGAAATTGTCAATTGTCGGCTGAAATTAAATGTGGGAGTGAAAACTAGCTGTTTGAATTGGTGAGTGTAGGGCAGAAGCTAATGGAATTATAAAGCCCAGGAATCTGGTTAATCTCTCCTGCACCAAAAACCTGCCTCAACCAGAGACGAAGGGGGTGGGCCTCTGGGGCAGGGTGCCCAGAGGTAGAGGGACCCCTGAGCCTGGGTACTGTGGGTGGAGTAGCAGAACAGGAGTGGCACGATTAAGAGGTGACTCAAACTGGCAAAGGCTGGCGAGGACAAAATATGCCAACCCCACCAGTCACGATCCTTAAATATCGCTGTAAATTCGCAGTTTCTAGGCAACATCAAAATCCATCCCGTAATCTATTCCTTAATAACTTGTTCAGTTTTTCGTCAAGTTTGCTGGTCTGGACAGGAGCAGGACGGCCGGCCGCAAGCTGTGACGCCTCGGCTTCCAGGCCCTTCCAGGGCCCCGGGTCTGTCTGCCCTGGCGGGGACCAGGAACCCAGGCATACCCTGCCTGACGGTTGGCAGATTCATGGGCCTTTGAATCTTATTGACAGCGGGTGACAGCAGAGGGGCTGTGGCTCTCTTGCTCTGACAGCAGCGCCTGACCACTTGCCTGGTACCAAGGGTAGGTCGCTGCCACAGTGGCCATGCGTTGCCCCAGCCCAGCTGACCACACCCATCGAGGGGGTCTCTGTCCCCCAAGCGCTGTCCTTCTGCCTCGAGCAGAAGTCCTCATGTGGCTTTGCCTGTGTTTGATTCTTCCTGGGCCCAAGGTGGGTCACCGTGGGGCCTTGTGGGGTTTGGCATATCAAATGCGCATCAGACACGTACAGACCCGGGGGACCCACGGCCATGCCATGTGCTCGGGGCTGCAGCTCCAGGGACCCCGATATGCAGGGCCATACCACCAGAGCCCACACGAGGAACAAACCCACCCCAGATGGAGTGCAGCGTCCCACAGAGAGGAGGGCTAGAGGGCCGGCCTCTCACCTCAGTGGCTCTCCCTGTCAGGCTCTGATCTGCCTCTGTTGTCTCCATGTCTTCATCCTCACTGACTCAGGGAGGTTGCTGCAACCCCAGACATCGCTCCTCACACCATAAGGCCTAAGGACAGAAAGGGTTCCATCTCAGAACCTCCCCGCTGAGGTAGAAGACCTCAAATTAATATTAACAATGTTGGGTGCCTGCTGAAACCCAAGGGCCCTGATTTGCCTGACCTCAAGTCCCCTCCCCACCCCTCTCAGGTCTTCTAGTCAAACACTCTCCCTGTCCAGGGCCCAGGCCCATTTCCTGCTTATTCCTATGGGGTAGACTCAGTGCCTTGTCAGCCTGCAGACCTAGTCACCAGGCAGCTGCACCCCCTCTTAACACCACAAAGCCTGCTGTCCCCCTGGTCCACCAGCCCTTGGTCCTCTCCCAACATATGAGTCCACAGGGCTATAAACTGTGTCCATCTTATCAGGGCCATCTATTGATGACGAAGTTGGTTCCTCCCCATAACCTCGGGCAAGACCCGTCCATGCCCGACGGGTGAGATGACCACGGCAGCAGACCTCTCCCCCCAGGCAGAAGCTCCAGGAAGAAGGGCCTGGGATCTGAGTGAGCCCTGCTCTTGACCCTGCTGGGTCACATGCTTAGGTGCTAGTAAGTGGCAGCCGGAGGCAGGGGTTACCACTATTGGTCTAGACCACCCCTTGGTACGGGAGTCACCAGGCTTGGTGTTCCTGCAGGCCAGAAAGAGGTCCCGCCCCTGCACAGTTGGTTATGAAACAGTTGTTGTTTTTTTCTTTTTTCTTTTAATGAAGCGCATTGCTGGGCACTGTGGCACTCACCTGAAATCCCAGCGGCTCAGGAGGCTGAGGCAGGAGGATCTCGAGTTCAAAGCCAGCCTCAGCAAAGGTGAGGCCCTAAGCAACTCAGAGAGATCCTGTCTCTAAATAAAATACAAAACAGGATGTGGTTCAGGGTTTGAGTGACCCTGAGTTCAGTCCCTGGCATCCACCCCCTACAAAAGAGGCCGGCACCCCCACACTTCCCTGGTAGGGACCTCACACTGCAGGCCACAGCGCACCAGCCCCAATCATCCGGGGTCAGTTACCTGACAACCAGGGACAGCCCTGGCCCCGGAGCCTGCGCCATGATTTAAACTGGCCAGCCCTCTCCAGTGGCCAAACACAAGTGTCCCGACAGCCCCCGCGTGCTGGAGGCTGACCCTGGTGCAACCCTCTCACGGCCCTGCCTGGCGGCCTGCTCCCGCTGGCGTCTGTCTGAGCGTCTTTGTGTCCCCTGTCAAAAGAAGCTTTAATCCTTCTTCAACAATGGGCGCTCTGAGTGGCAGGGCGAGGCCCAGGGCTGGCTCGGGCTGGGCCTCTTGGGGCTGCTCCCCGCTCACTGAGGGGTTTCTGGGCCTGGAGGAGGACAGGGCTGAACTGGAGCTTGATGTCCCCCGCTCCTGGGTCCTCCAAGTCCCTCCCCGCCAACCTGAGCGTGCTAACTGGCTAGGCTCTGGGGACTGGACACCAGCAGAAGTGGGGCCACCTCAGGGCAACTGGAGCAGCGGCCACTGGCACTGGCATGGCCCTCCCTGGGTGCTCGGTGTCGGCGTTTCTTTATCACTCCTGGGCCGAACCCTCATTCTGAGGCGTTCAGGGCCCTTCATGGAGGAGGGTGTTGGGCAGCACACCTTGCTGCTGTCACTGAGTCCGCGAGGACCCTCAGAGACTCTGCGGCAGATGCCCCTGCAGCCTCCCCTCCTGGAGTCTCTGGACCACCCATGAGGCTGGGAGTGGGACACAGGCTTCTGGTGCAAGGAGCTGCCTCTTGGCTTCGTGCTATTTCCACAGTGTCCACTTCGCGCTTTGCACGTAGCCCTTGCCGCCCTGCCCTGAGACTTGTTCTTTAAATGGACGATTCTTTCTCTTCCTCTCTCCCTGCTCCCCCCCAATCTCCCCCTCTCCCTAATCTCAGGGGAAACGGGATCACCTGTCTTCCCCATCCTAGGCAGAGGTCCCTGTCCCTGAGCACTCACCCACCACAGCAACAGAGTCATCCAGACTTTGCAGAATTCTCTCCTAGTTAACCAGTGAGTGTCAACTCCAGCAGAGGACACCTGGAATTCTGCCTTTGAGTCACCTCTGAGAAAGCCCCCCGTCCCTGCTGAGGGGCAGAATCCCAGCCCCAGGCACAGGAGTCCCCTGTGTTTCTCTTTTGCTAGTAAAGTAATAAGCCTTCTTCTTCCCTTTTCTCAAAGCCGTGTCCTCCTTAATGGATTGACACTGGGGACAAGGACCAAGCTTTCGGCACTGTGGTTTAGATGTGAGGTGTCCTCCAAAAGGTCATGTGTGAGACAGTGTTCGGAGGTGAGCTGATGGGTCGTGCGAGCCTGGGTGGCCGAACCCCGCCGGGGATTAACTGGGCGGTAAAGCAGGCAGGTGGGGTGTGGCTGGAGGAAGTGGGTCACCAGGGGCATGACTCTGCGGTTGGTTGGTGCTTTGTCCCTGGCTCCCAGCTCTGTCTCTCTGCGTCCTGACTGCCAAGAGCCACAGGCCTTTCCATCCTGAAGTCCTGCCACACCTCCGGCCCCAGCTGTGCAGTCGGCCACCCGTGAACTAAGCCTCCGAAACCGTGAGTCAGAGGACACTTCCTCCTCCACTCTGTTTGGGTCAGGCCTGTGGGTCCCAGCGACACAGAAGCTGGCTCAAGGCCGGCCACTAGAGAAGAAGTGGCCAGTCAACTACTGAAAATGAGGCTTGGGCAGCGCCTGAGCCTGTGAGCCCCACACCCTGGTGCCCGTCAGGTTTCAGGTCACGAGGACAGAACTGCACACACGGCAGCCTGCAGCCCCCCTGGTGTGTGGGGGGACAGACCTGGCCCTCTGGTGGCTGCCACCGAGAGCAGGGGTGGTTTCCCCTGTCCTCAGAGTGCTAGAGGAGGTCACTCCCTCTGAGTTCCTTGGTTACTAGGGGTCCTGTGGGTGGGCTGCAGGGGGAGTCCACAGGCCTGCTCAGGGCATTACTAACCATCCTCAGCCAGCATGTCCCTGGCAGGACAGGACCCAGGGGTCAACACGATTAGCCAGACTTTGGGCAGCAGGGTTAGTACTGGACGCCTGGTCAGCAGAGAGCCCCATTTGCATGTTCTTATGGCTGTTGGGGCGCTGCCTCGGAGACAGTCCACAGGGTACAGCCTCACAGACACCCCAAACAGGATGGACATCACGAGTGTCCACGTATGCGAGGCACAGTTCAGGCCTCAGCTGGACACCTGTCTCCCTCCTAAGACTGGGTTGCTACAGGTGTGACCAGGACACTCATTCACACCTCAGCACACGCAGGCTGGCTCTTAGAAAAGGTGACAGAGGACTGTCATTGTCCTGCAGGTCTCGGGCAGTGGGTTAATCATGAGGCCCGCAGGGTCCAAGGAACTCCTAAGTGGCAACAGGACAAACTCCTCTGGGTCCCTATTTTATCCCTTAGCCTCTCTGTGCCAGGCTCCTGACCCTGTTGTGCCTCACGCTGACACTAAGAAGCTTCCCCATGACCTCGCTGTGAGGGGGTCCTGCTTCAGTGTCCCTACGTCTCATCACATGGGAGACCTCTTAGTGATGTCCGCCCCCTGGCTGCCTGGATTCCCGTCCTGCCCTGCAACAGAAGAGCTGGAGGCTGGACAGGCAACCACCATAGACCGTCTCAGGAGTCAGACGCCTGCCCATCTAGGCAGGTGGAGTGTGGCTGGAGCCTAAATTTCCACCACCCCAAAACCCTTCTTGCATGTTTGAGCTCTTGGGGGTGATGATCAGTCAGACTTTCTCTCTGACCCTCTCCAGGGAATCGTGAATCCTAGGGCCATTGCCACAGGCAGTGTAGACGACAGGAGAGATTTTTTTTTTCTTTTTTCTCTTTGCAATACTGGGGATTGAACTCAGGGCCCTGTGCATGCCAGGAAAACTGTCTCCACTGAGCTATATCCCCAGCCCAGGAAAGAGAGATTTTTAAGGCTTCCCTTAGTAGATAAAAAAAAAAATCATATTCCAAAGGCTGGAGTCGTGGCTGAGGGGTAGAGCACTTGCCTGGAATTCACAAGACCTTGGGTTCCATCCCCAGCTCTGAAAAAAAAAATCATTCCAGAATAACCTGAGGCCCCTGTGATAGAACCAACAGCTCCTCGCCTGTGGCTTCAATGTGGTTCGTTCCCAACTCAGGCAGAAGTCAAATCCTGAAGCCATGTGTTAACGAAATTAAAAGGGTGGAAAATTATCCCTGCTGTGGACTTTAGAGTGTGGGGGGTTTGGGAAGTGATTAGGTTTAGGCAAGGTCACTGGGTGGCGCCCCCATGAGGGAACCCTGGTGGCTGTATAAGGAGAGGCAGAGAGAGCAGACCCTCAGACACAATCCCCGTCCCCCCTTGCAATGTGCCACCTCACAGTCCACAAGCAAGAAGGCCTCCACCAGATCTGAACTGATGCTAGCACTACGCCTTTGAACCTGCCAAACTGTGAACTAAACAATCTTCTTTTCTTGATAAATGATCATTTCAGGTTATTTCATTACAGTGATGAAAAGCTGGCTGATACAACCGCCTTGGTAACTAATGTCCCAGAGGAAAAATAGCACCAGATAACAGAAGCCTGTCAGGTGTAAGTGCTCACCATTTTATGTCGATTATTGGTTTTGTGACAATTGATCCAAACGAGAGGTCCAAATCCTCCAAACGAGAAATGATTTGGATCAAACGTGGTGAGTGCTGAGGCCCATGTGCCATTCCACTGAGCAGGGCTGGCCTGTCTCTGGAGCCCATGACCTCACCATCTTGTTACGTGGACATTTTAATTGGTAAAGAACTTGTCCCACTCTTAACAACAGGCGCCCTAATCAGCCCATGTGTTTGACGACCTGCTGCTGCAGAGCTCTCAGGACCTGCCTGGGCAAACCCCGGCTCAGCTGGAATCTGCTGGACTTGGTCACCCTGCAGGGGACTTGAATCGTGCCCGATCAGATCCTGGAAGACTAGTCACCGTCCCCTGCTAACTGTGCACCCACAGCCCCTGGGACTGAGAGTCACCGGCTGCTTCCAAACCGGTCTCTCCTTCCAGCTCCACCAGCAGCTCAGTCTTGTTACGAAACCATAGAGCCACAAACGAGGTCCTTGTCCCCTCCAGGGACATCCACTGTGGAGGACACCCCAGGCCACATCCCAGACAACCCTGGCCAGCAACCTGGCCCGGGGAGAGTGAGGCCACCAGCCCAGCGGCCCCCCTGAGGCGCCCTCTCCTAGAGGAGCCGAGGAGTGGCACGCAGCAGGAGTGGCTTCTCTTCCGTGGCGACTGGGTATGTGGTGACGGTTCTGAGTTTGCCGTTGGCTCAGTTCACGAGCCTCTTGAATTCTTGAATCTGCCAGAATATGTGCCCTTGGGATTCCAGGCCTGAGGGAACCCTGTGGATGTCACCACTGTCTATGTACAGGGCCAGGACCTCCACTGCCACCTGTTTCCCTCGGTTACTAATAAAGCACTAGACCATCTGCCACCTCCTGCTGCCCGGTACCTGCCAGACCTCCACCGTGGCCCAGGAATGCACCCAGACACTCCCCTCCTGACCATGAGTCCACCAAGGTATCGTCAGAGACCCCAAACTCTCAGCTCTGTTTTTTTTTATTTTTTATTTATTTATTTATTTATTTATCCATCCATCCATCCATCCATCCTAGGGATTGAACCCAGGGGTGCTTAACCACTGAGCCACATCTCCAACCCTTTTTACTTTTTATTTTGATTCAGGGTCTCTCTAAATTGCTTAGGGCCTTGCTGAATTGCTGAGGCTGACCTCAAAGTTTCGATCCTCCTGCCTCAGCCTCCCTAGTCACTGGGATTTAGAGGTGTGCACCACTGTGCCCTGCTCCTGCTGAGTGTTTTACCCAGTGGTCCCATCCAGCCTTCTGCTCTGCATGTAGCCCTAGGGGCCCTCCGGGGACTCTCTGCTCATTTGAGTCAGGCCTCTCTTCTTGCTACGGACTCAGTCACTCAGGCCGCAGCTGCTGGAAACAAGCCCAAGTGACCACTTTTTACTACTGGATGCCGTGACAGACAGGGCCCAGGGGCAGGAACCTAGCGTCCTGCCTCCCTTCTCCCCATGACTTAGGGACTGTTGGGGTTGCAGGGTTTGGTGGCCAGCCACCACACTTGTCCCTGCTTTCCAACGCAGGAAGAACTTGGTGACTACGAAGACCAGAACAAAAAGGAAGGGAAACGTCCACACAGGAGCGGAGCAGCCATGAGGGGAAGCAGGTGACCACCGTCGGGCTCCAAGCCCCGGTGCCAGAGCCGCAGGCCCTGAGAACCCCCAGACGACGGGAAAGAGATTTGCCCCCGGCCTGGCGCCTGGGGAGCTACTGTGCTCGCTCCCCTTCTCAGCACGAACCCTAGACGAACAACTCAGACAGGGAAAGGTCCATCCAATCAGGGCCCTGGTTTCTGTCCATGGTCGCTTGGATCTGCCACTTTGGGGCCTGTGGCAGGGCAGCCCCTGGCGGTGAGGACCACATGGTGGAGGATAATGCTCACCTCATGGAGGTCAGGAGCAGCGAGAGATTCATAAGAGGCTGAAGCTCCATCCCCGCTTCAAGGGCAGCCCCCAGGGATCTGTCCATCCTCCTATGAGGCCCCGCCCCGAGCTTCCACCCCTCCCCAGGCTGGTGACCAAGCCCTTAGCATAGGGCCTTTGGGACACTGAAGATCCGAAGCACAACAGCAGAGAGGGCCTGTAATACCGTCCCAGGTCCCTGGGACTGCCAACGCTTAAGGAGCTTGAGAAGGCAAGGTGACAAGCGGTTGAGTGACAGGACCCCTCCCCAGGTGGGGCTCAGCCTCTGCCACTTCTCCAGGTGCAGCCCACTAGGCTGCAGATGCACCTGCCCAAGTCCCTCACCTTGACCTCATCCGGGGCAGGGACCTTATAGGGTGCCCAGCACCTCTGGGCTGGCAGTGCCAGAGTGGAGGCCAGTGGTTACCGGGCTGCCCTTGGGACACATCTCCACACTTTCTCAGCCTCCTGGAGACCTTGCTTGGCCACAGAATCTCCTGGCACCGCCCTGCAGCCGGTTTCCGAAGTGTGTATTCTCAGCTCCGTGACACACACTGTGTTTTCTATTTACAAGGGTGACATTGCCAGTTAAAGGAAAAGTGGTCAGGCAGTGCCATGAGATAGCACAGGACAAACAGTGAGCCCAGGGGACCCCTGAACCAAGGGGAGCCCCTACTCATCAGGCCATCTGCGGCAATCACATTACAGTTAGTGACCAGAAGAAAGACTGTTGTGCAGTCTGGAGAGGGAAGGGGACTTGGTGACAAAGCTGGTTCAGGACTGGAAGCTAGGGGTAGGGGGGACAGATGGCAGCAGGGCAGAACAAGGACAGGAAAGCAGGACTCTCCTCCACTGCTCCCAGCAGGCCCTGCTGCAGGGTGGGCAAGGCCACCCAGCCCCTCATGTGACCGTGACAGAGCCGGAAACCAAAGGTCATCACAGAGGCCAAGGGAGCCTGCTGGGTAGAAGCCACCACTCAGGACCAGAGCCAGGCCTCATGTGGCAGGACCACGCAGCCTCCAGCAGGCCTGGGTGGTCCCCACATGTAGACTTGGAGGGCTCTGAACACCCTGGGAGAGGCCACCCAGGTGACATCGCCAGAGCTGGCTGACCAGGTGACTAAGGCTTGGCGAGGCCCAGTGCCACCTGCCCACACACCCCATGACATGGTGCCAGGTGGTGGCACAGGAGCAGCGCAGGAAGGAGCCCATGGGGCGGGGTTTCCACTGGGTGGAGGGAAACCCTGGGGCTTCTATGAATTCAGTTCTCCCCGGAGCCCTGAAAAGCCATGGTGGACGGAGCTGTGTGATCACCGGCAACGCACCCACCCCTCAGCTGTGGCTCTGCAGTTCTGTTGGGTGAGGATGATGTGAAAGGGCCCTGTGTGTGGGCAGGGGATGAGTCCCCGGTCAACCTGTGGCCCTGCTAGTGCCCGTGCCTGCACCCTGAGGTTCACTTCCTCCTGGGCTCCAAAGAGGCCGCTCAACATGTTTTATCTTGTTAATCCCCAATAACCCTGTGACGGAGGGATTACTGTCACCATTGCATAGAACCAGGAAACTGAGGCACAGAGAGGCCAAGTCACTCGTCTGAAGTTGCATATTGAGTACATAACAGAAGGGACACAGCCAGCCAGATCCCGAGCTCACTCTGGAATCTCAGGGCTCTCAGGTGTCTCTGTGCCTTCAACACGGGACCAGGGGAGGGGGGCAACGTGGTAAGAAGAGTGGCTCAGTCCTGCCTGGCACCTCAGGGGCCAGGTTCCATGCCGTGGCCTGAGACCAGCAAGCTAAGAGCCGGGTGCTCCCAGGTCGGAGGCCTCTGGGGACGGGGACATAGGTCTATCAGCCGTCCCAGGCCTCAGGCATGCCGCAGTCTGTCCAGCCATACCTCCAGGCCTGTCCTGAGAGGTGGGGCAGTAGGGGGGGAACTGTCCCTAGAAACGGGGACCTCTGAGTACAAAGTCTCTGTCCACAGTCAGAGCTGTGCCACAGGCAGAGGTGGCACAGCGGGGCAGCGGCCGCAGCAGAGGTGACCCTCCTTTAGTGTGTTTCTTAGTTGTCGGTGACCTTGATTTCATTATTTCTATGTGGTGCTGAAGATGGCACCCAGGGCCCCACACAAGCCAGGCAAGGGCTCCGCCCACCACGGGGCCCCCGCGAGCCCCTCCTCTATGTTGGAGTGTTTTCTGCATGCTGATACCCACTCCCTCACCCACCAATCCTGTCCCCACCGTGAAACACGTGGCTCTGGCTTCCTAGTGCTTATTTAGCCAAGAATGTATAAGCTTTTATTTATTTTTTTAAAGAGAAAAAAAGGGTTATATTTATATATTGGCCTGTGACTTCCTCTCTTCACCTCCCAGGGACACTCTCCTGCCACCTTCCTGCCAGTATCTAGATGTCTACTGTCTTCCACCCCCACCCCCCGCAGGGTGTCCCCTGGTGCAGACACAGAGGTCCTGGGTCTGGTGACTGTCCTGAGCTGAGTGGATTGGACACGGTGGGGAGAGGTGACATGCTCAGGGGATCTGCTGGGGCCAGGGATCTGGTCTCTCCAATTTTTTAAGGAATTTGGGGACTTGATGGATCTGAGAAGTGAGGAGATCTGGGAACTGCTGGTTTGGGAAGATAGTGGGGTCTAGGGGGTACAGTGTCTGGAGGTGCACAGTCTGAGGAGTGCAAGATCTGGGGGTGCAGAGTCTAGGGGGTGCAGGGTCTGGGGGTGCAGAGTCTAGGGGTGCAGGGTCTGGGCTTGCAGAGAGTCTAGGGGGTGCAGGATCTGGAAGGTGAGGCAGAGGTGGTGGGTCTGAATCACCTCGGTGGTGCAATGGCTGGTCAGCTGAGACCCCAGCCCTCCTCCCCGCAGGCCCCCCACCTCCTGGGCTTCCACTCCCATGAGCCTCTGGGGTGCACCTCTGGAGGCCTCCTCTGCTATCCAGGGGGTCAGGATGAGGCCCTCCCTTCCTTTCAAGCTCGGCTGCTTTGAGCCACAGAACAAGCCCCGGGGCAGCCGGGAGCTCTTCCTGCCTCTTTAGGCCCTAGAGCTGGGAGAACTGACCTATTTGTTGTGTCAGGAGCAATCACTAAGGAACACACTTGGTGACAAGAGTGAGGAGGTTAGGAAACCCCGAGGGGTCATGGGCTTCCCTTGCCTGCTTTCCCCTCTGTCCCTCCCTCCGGGCCCCTCCCTCTCTCCCTGTCCTTTACTGAGCATGCACTGCCCTCCCTGTGCGCTCAGACTGGGCGTCCAGAGACCAGGGAGCAAGTTCCTGCTCGCGCCCAGGAGAACATTCCATTCTTTTGCAGCAAGTTTGGATTCTGCTTTGGTTGAGATTTATGGTTTTACTGTTTTCTGATCTCGTGCCATTCCACATCTCCAGGGCCGGTGGGTCAACTCAGGGACCTCTGGGCTGGTACCACTTCCTTGCTTCTTTGAACTCTGTTCCAAGTTGATTCAGGACTGAGGAAACATTGGCACCTCCCCAAAGGGGCACTCCCCCAGCCTCCGCCAGGGTTCCACGGCCCCCACCCTGAAATGCCTGTGGTGCGCTGGCCCTGCTGTCACCTCCCAGGCTCCCAAGGCACCTCCATGCCCAGCCTGGTGGCCTGTGCTCAGTCAACTTTGGAGGGTCTTCACCTGGAGGCTGAATGAATGGACGTATCACTTCCTGGAAATAGAAGTTCAGAGAATGAACGAATCCATCTCTACATGAATTCTAAAATAATAATAATAACAACAACAACAACAACCACCTACAGAGATGAGACAGTTGCCCTGATTTGGAAGAAGGGGTGGGCACCAGTCCAGTGCTCTTCTGCTGCTTTCCAAGCATGGGAGTATTTTTTTTTTCCAACAGAAAACAGGAACACTAAATAAAAATCTACAGTCCAAGAGTGTCCATGGTCACCATTGGTGGCAGGAGGGCGAGGTCAGAGGTCCCCCACTGTCGAAGGGCGTCATGGTCTCTCTAGAAGGTGGGCTCCTGGCCACGCATGAGGGGGTCAGTTCCAGAGCCAGAGGGTTTTAGAGAAAGGCCCAAGTACACGCTTGAGAAGGAGAAGCCCGGGGTCAGGCTGGTTCTGGGGCGCGGCTGCTCACTTCTGGTATTTTCTCAGCAGCCAGCTGGGCGTCTCAGGAGGCCTGCTGTGTGGCAAAGGCTATCTGAGGGTGTTGTTAGTGAAACCTCAAGAAAAGGAGCCCCCGCCCAGCCCCGAACCTGCTAAGACTGCATTCCCAGGACCCACTGGCCCCGCCTGCTCTGTGGAGTTCACGTTTCCTGAGGTTTCAGTCAACTTGGGCCAAATTCCTGGTGCAACTTGCTGGGCGGGTGCTGAGCTGCCATGCAGAGGTGCTGGGCCCCCTCCCTGGGCAGAGAGGACCGTCTCCTAGCAGGCAGGAGCTGCGACAGCTGCCCTTGGGTTAGCTGGAGGGAAGCCACACAGTGCCACCTGTGCTTCCTGCCCGAGGACTTTTGACTCTTTTCCCTGTGCCCAGAACCGCCCAGTTCTTTCCAGCCCTGCTCAGCAGCCACCCTGCCCCTGACATGGGTCAAGGGCTTCCTGCTCCCCAGCTTCTGCACCCTTGCCCGGGCCTGGCATCCCTTCTCCCTCTCCTCTGCACACCCCAATTCAATGCAGCCTGCGGGCCCCCTGTCTCTCTGGCCAGCACCAGCCCTGGCCGCAGTTCTTCCTCTGCCCTGGACTCCCATCTGCTCACGTTTGCCTTCTCTCCTCTCTACTACCTGGCTTGACTCTACCTATTGGTGTCCTTATGTAATCTTTCAGGCGTGTAGCATGAGACACCGTGTGCCCCTGGAACCCCAGGAGATGAGGGCCCAGGGGCTGTCTGTTCCTGTATCAGAAACCTCTCTCCCCACCACCTGGTTTGCCCCCGCCCAGCAGCTATAGGGCACTTCCTTCCTCGAGCACCCAGCCCTAAGCCAGGACGGGCTATGCTGGTGGATGCTCTTGGGGCTCCCCGACCCCACATCCAGCACAAAACATCAGCACACATTTATTATGTCTGGATCCCAGAATGCACTTCATAAAGGCCACGGTGATGTCCACCCTCCTCTATGGGCTCCTCTTTGCCCAGCACAAACTGAACTTGGACTCATGAGGGAATGCAGGCTGGGGACCTCTATTCAGTTTGCATCTGCAGGGCAGGAACACAGCTGCCACCCTAGAAGTGCCCAGAAGTGGGGACTCTGCTGCAAACTGCTCCCACCTCAACTTACTGCAGAAGGATTAGTCTCTGTGCCAGCTGCTTTGGTCTGAATGTTGTGTCCCCCCAAAAATTTATGTGTAGAAATTTAACCCCTAAGGTGGTGCTATCAGGAGGGGGGCTTTTGGGAAGTAATAAGCTCACAGGGAGGAGCCCCTTCCCGAGGATGGATGAGTGCCCTTGTAAAAGAGGCCAGAGACCCCTCAGAGAGCAAGAAGGTACCATCAGAGAGAAGAACCAGAGAGTGGGTCTCCCCAGAAAAATCTGCCAGTGCCTTGCCTGGACTTGAATCTTTGTTGTTTATAATTTCCCCAGTTTGTGACAACAGCCTGAACAGACTAAGATGCCACCCCTTGGTACTTGGCCTATGGTGACAGGGAAAGGGCCCAGTGCAGACCCAGCCAGCCAAAGAGGGGCCTGGCCAAGTATCCACCAACACGAGTGTGACATCCCTTTCAGGTGGAACTTTCCAGAGGAGAAGGACTTGCCTTCTTCCTGGAGACTCCCAGACGATGCCAGCCCAGCTCTGTGCTCAGAATCCCAGAGCACTAGACAGCACGAGGCCAGGGAGGCTGGGAAAGAAGAAAGAGCGTCTCTGCGGCTCATTGTCCCTAGTGGTGGCAGGGCACATAACAGAGGACAGCTCTCTGGTGAACAACTGCCACTTCTAGTTTTCAAGTCTGTGGCTTTGTACAGTGGGCACACAGAGGAGTGGGGCAGCCTGCCTGCTAGATTCAAGAGGACAGCTTTGCTTGGCCACCACGTGACCTGGACATACTACCACCCACTCTGAGCCTGGATGGTGGGGTGATACCCACCAGAGAGACTCTGGGACCAAACGAGATCACGTGGGCTAAGTAGCTGTGGCAGAGCTGGGTGCTTAGGCCCTGGTAAAGCTGTCTCCTCTCCACATCTAGGGTCAAGGCAGCTGTGGCTGCATTACCCCATCTTCCCAGCAGGGGTCCTCAGAGTCTCATGCCATCCGTGGAAATTAACTCACTGCTCTGGGTAGCTCTGAAGCAGGCATGTTCCCAGCTTTCTCACCTGTACCAGGAAGAAATGACCCCACCTTCCTGTGTCCCCTGTCAGGGGAAGGAAGGTCCCAGGGCCTTCAGCAGCATATAGATGCTCTAGGGAGCAAGGGCCAGAGCCACACCTGATGATGTATGGAGCTTGGCATTTGACGGGCATCTGCCCATCTCAAGCATGGTTTCAATCAAGTGCTTGCAGCTTTGGAGGTCGGCAGCCTCAGGTTCAAGGCTGAGTTCCACTAAGCAGCTGCCTAACCTTTCTGAGGTTGTTACCTCATCCATAAAAAGGGAGTCCTCTTACTGATCTCAAAACCGAATTGCCTCTGCTGCTATTCATCGGCAATTCCTACCCCATGAGTCTTTCCCTGAACACATCCCACTTTCCCATCTGTTCCCTCCCTACCCACACGTAAGCTGGAGGTGACCTTTTCCTGACTCAGCTGCACAGCAATCATGACCTCCAGTTTCTACTTGGTAGAAACCTGCCCTAGGCCATCAAATAATTTGAGGAAGCCCAGATTCACACCAGACCCACAGCATTCACACCCATTGTGCTATTGGGAAGACTCAGGCCCCTGCAGAGAATTGCTGGCTGAAGTGGGTCTTTTTTTTCATATCCTGCTGGAAACCAAGT